GTTTACTCCTGAACATATTTAGGCTTGCCATAACAAAGGGGATGATCACTTATTGACTCAAAACATTCCAGATTTAAATGTTTATTATTTTGTAAAAATGTGGAAAAACATAATTCCACTTTCACATTATGGGGTATTGTGTGTACTGTAGGCCAGTGACAAAAAATCTAAATGTAATCAATTTTTTATTCAGGCTGTAACACAACAAAATGTGGAAAAAGTAATGGGGTGTGAATACTTTCTGAAGGCACTGTACATTCCGTTCTCAGCATCAACAAAACTCTCTCTATCCTCTATCTTGTTAAGTGTGTTCAAATCAAATCAAATCAAATCAAATTTTATTGGTCACATGCGCCGAATACAACAGGTGCAGACATTACAGTGAAATGCTTACTTACAGCCCTTAACCAACAGTGCATTTATTTTAAACAAAAAAAGTAAAAATAAAACAACAAAAAAAGTGTTGAGAAAAAAAAGAGCAGAAGTAAAATAAAGTGACAGTAGGGAGGCTATATATACAGGGGGGTACCGTTGCAGAGTCAATGTGCGGGGGCACCGGCTAGTTGAGGTAGTTGAGGTAATATGTACATGTGGGTAGAGTTAAAGTGACTATGCATAAATACTTAACAGAGTAGCAGCAGCGTAAAAAGGATGGGGTGGGGGGGCAGTGCAAATAGTCCGGGTAGCCATGATTAGCTGTTCAGGAGTCTTATGGCTTGGGGGTAGAAGCTGCTGAGAAGTCTTTTGGACCTAGACTTGGCACTCCGGTACCGCTTGCCGTGCGGTAGCAGAGAGAACAGTCTATGACTAGGGTGGCTGGAGTCTTTGACAATTTTGAGGGCCTTCCTCTGACACCGCCTGGTATAGAGGTCCTGGATGGCAGGAAGCTTTGCCCCAGTGATGTACTGGGCCGTACGCACTACCCTCTGTAGTGCCTTGCGGTCGGAGGCCAAGCAGTTGCCATACCAGGCGGTGATGCAACCAGTCAGGATGCTCTCGATGGTGCAGCTGTAGAATTTTTTGAGGATCTGAGGACCCATGCCAAATCTTTTTAGTCTCCTGAGGGGGAATAGGCTTTGTCGTGCCCTCTTCACGACTGTCTTGGTGTGTTTGGACCATGATAGTTCGTTGGTGATGTGGACACCAAGGAACTTGAAGCTCTCAACCTGTTCCACTACAGCCCCGTCGATGAGAATGGGGGCGTGCTCAGTCCTCTTTTTTTTCCTGTAGTCCACAATCATCTCCTTTGTCTTGGTCACGTTGAGGGAGAGGTTGTTGTCCTGGCACCACACGGCCAGATCTCTGACCTCCTCCCTATAGGCTGTCTCATCGTTGTCGGTGATCAGGCCTACCACTGTTGTGTCGTCGGCAAACTTAATGATGGTGTTGGAGTCGTGCCTGGCCATGCAGTCATGGGTGAACAGAGAGTACAGGAGGGGACTGAGCACGCACCCCTGAGGGGCCCCCGTGTTGAGGATCAGTGTGGCAGATGTGTTGTTACCTACCCTTAGGTAGGTGTGTTCAGGTGTGTTGGCAGCGTCCACTAATCTTAATGAGTGATTGTTTCCTTTGTAATGGGATCTGTTTGAATAGACTAAAATGAACAGCTTTGTGTGAGTTAAAAGAAACATGGCATGCTATCTCCATCCTGGTGGCGCAGTGGACTAATTCCATGGATAGAGAACAGAAGATCATAGGTTCTAATATCACAGACGCCATGCCACAATAAAAAAAGAAATATGTTTGCATGATTAATGCCTAAGCAAATTAATTTCCATGTGTCCTATCTGTGCTTGGAGTTCAAAACAGTCAATCTAAGCTAGCACTGTTATTAAAAGTCTTATTGAAACATTCAGTGAAAGTTTTAAGGAAGTAATTTCTGTTCTCAGAATGTTAATTAAACCATAGTAAAACATTCTCAGAACTTCCCTGCAACCTAAAAATGAATGTTCCCAGAACAGGTGAAATTTTCACTTCCTTTCTCAGAACGTTTAAAAAAACGTTCAGTTTTACCGGTCAGGAAACGTAGGTCTTTGTTCTCAAAACCAATCGGAAACCAAAAAGTTACGTTCCCAGAACTTCCAAGGAACCAAATGTGCTAGCTGGGCTGTGTGTGAATCCTCTTCAGAACCAGTCAAGACAGAGGGGTGCCTCAGGGATCAATACTAGCCCAGTCAATATATGCTCTGGCAGCAGGCATGGAAAGAAAACATGCTGGGCTACAAGTCAAGGCTGTTATGAAAAGGAAGGTCCAATAACATCACTCACTCACCTTCTCTCATTCGCTTGTCGTGGAAATTTCCACCAGGGACACCTGAAGTCAATTTTAGATGAATCATTGTTTATTAACAGCAAGCTGGAGAGGTCACAGTCAAACTTAGATGCATAAAGTACCGGTCTGAAGTGAGCTCTGCCGGGGCAGTCCCGTTAGTTCTCTTACATACTGCTTACACAGACAAGTTATATTTGCATGGTTCATAAGGTTGGTTCCTGCATGTGTCTGGCACCGTCTCCTATCTTAACATATACAGTTGAAGTCGGAAGTTTACATACACTTAGGTTGGAGTCATTAAAACTCGTTTTTCAACCACTCCACAAATTTCTTGTTAACAAACTATAGTTTTGGCAAGTCGGTTAGGACATCTACTTTGTGCATGACACAAGTAATTTTTCCAACAATTGTTTACAGACAGATTATTTAACTTATAATTCACTGTATCACCATTCCAGTGGGTCAGAAGTTTACATACACTAAGTTGACTGTGCCTTTAAACAGCTTGGAAAATTCCAGAAAATGATGTCATGGCTTTAGAAGCTTCTGATAGGCTAATTGACATAATTTGAGTCAATTGGAGGTGTATCTGTGAATGTATTTCAAGGCCTACCTTCAAACTCAGTGCCTCTTTGCTTGACATCATGGGAAAATCAAAAGAAATCAGCCAAGACCTCAGAATTTTTTTTGTAGACCTCCACATGTCTGGTTCATCCTTGGGAGCAATTTCCAAATGCCTGAAGGTACCACGTTCATCTGTACAAACAATAGTACGCAAGTATAAACACCATGGGACCACACAGCCATCATACCGCTCAGGAAGGAGACGCGTTCTGTCTCCTAGATATGAACGTACTTTGGTGCAAAAAGTGCAAATCAATCCCAGAACAACAGCAAAGGACCTTGTGAAGATGCTGGAGGAAACCGGTACAAAAGTATCTATATCCACAGTAAAATTAGTCCTATATCGACATAACCTGAAAGGCCGCTCAGCAAGGAAGAAGCCACTGCTCCAAAAACCCCATAAAAAAAAAGCCAGACTACGGTTTGCAACTGCGGGGACAAAGATCGTACTTTTTGGAGAAATGTCCTCTGGTCTGATGAAACAAAAATAGAACTGTTTGGCCATAATGACCATCATTATGTTTGGAGGAAAGGGGGGGACGGCTTGCAAGCCGAAGAACACCATCCCAACCGTGAAGCACGGGGGTGGCAGCATCATGCTGTGGGGGTGCTTTGCTGCAGGAGGGACTGGTGCACATCACAAAATAGATGGCATCATGAGGAAGGAAAATGATGTGGCTATATTGAAGCAACATCTCAAGACATCAGTCAGGAAGTTAAAGCTTGGTCGCAAATGGGTGTTCCAAATGGACAATGACCCCAAGCATACTTCCAAAGTTGTGGCAAAATGGCTTAAGGACAACAAAGTCAAGGTATTGGAGTGGCCATCACAAAGCCCTGACCTCAATCCTATAGAACATTTGTGGGCAGAACTGAAAAAGCGTGTGCGAGCAAGGAGGCCTACAAACCTGACTCAGTTACATCAGCTCTGTCAGGAGGAATGGGCCAAAATTCACCCAACTTATTGTGGGAAGCTTGTGGAAGGCTACCCGAAACATTTGACCTAGGATTTACTAGGATTAAATGTCAGGAATTGTGAAAAACTGAGTTTAAATGTATTTGGCTAAGGTGTATATAAACTTCTGACTTCAACTGTAGAACACATTCTGGGCGTTCCTCCAGATGGTCCTAAGGAGGAGGTCATGTGCCCCCCCCCATATTTTTACAGAGCACAGGCAAGGATAATTTATGACACTAAAGACAAAATGAACATTTTCAAGGCTGTCTCCGACACACTTCGACTGGTGAGAAGAGAGAGGTAGAGAGAGAGAGAGAGAGAGAGAGAGAGAGAGAGAGAGAGAGAGGCGCGACGAGATCGAGAGAGCAGTGAGAGAGAGAGAGAGAGGCTGCTCTCTCTCTATATCTCTCTCTCTCATCTCTCTCTCTCTCTCTATCTCTCTCTCATCTCTCTCTCTCTCTCTCTCTCTCTCTCTCTCTCTCTCTCTCCCACCCCCTCAGGAACGGGATTCCCTGGGTGCTATGGAGAAGGTGTGTCGTCAGTTGATGTACCACCTGAGCCCTCACTCCCAGTGGCGCAGGCAGGGGCTCCTGAAGAGCAAGCTTCAGCCCAGGTGAGGCCACTGCCACTACGACAGGACACCTGCATACACATGCATGCACTCATTCACAAATCCACTTACTAAATCACTCACTAACTCACTCACTGCAGGCACACACACACACACACACCTGTTTGACGGACTGTCTCAAATGGCACCCTAATCCCTACATATTGCACTATCTTTGACCAAGGCACATAGGGTTCTGGTCAAAAGTAGTGTGGTGAAAAGTAGTGTGCTATACTGTATAGGGAATATGATGGCATTTGGGACGCACACCTAGTACAGTGTCAAGTACAAACACGCATGCAAGAGTGTTTATAGGTAATCTTGTACACATTAGCAGCTAGAAGCTGAATTGTGGTACACCAACCCACTATCACAAATTATCGTGTAATAGACACAAATTACTTACGCAAAATTCGTGACAGAGACAGACACGTGAAAAAAAACATATAGTGTCCACCACACGATTTTGTATACAGTGCATTTCAATCACAGATGAAGGCAGTAGGTTACTTAAGACAGAAACGATAGGAGGGAGGATGGTCGGGGAGGATGGGTGAGCGTTTAACGGGAAGGTCTAGCAACCCAAACGTTGCGTGTTCAAATCACATGATGGACAACTTTAGCATTTTAGCTTATTAGCAACTTTGCAACTAACAACTTTTTAACTATTGAGCTAGCATGTTAGCTAACCCTAACCTAGGGCTTCCCAAACTTTTTTGTTCCACAACCCCATTTTGATATCTGAAAATTCTCGCGACCCCAACCTTGTGAATTGTTTTTGTCGTTTTGCGCAGTGGATGGGGTTTAATGTAGTTTACAATGGAAGTTACCTTCTGCAGTATATCTCCGAGTTCTGTGCTCAGCTCTTTTGCCGCCAGTTGCTCTCGGTGTATCATACAATGTGTCCATATGGCAGAGAGAGACACATTCATAACCAGAGTGCACAGGCCTGCCCGCCGTCCCACCATAGATGGAGCCCCATCTGTGCAAAAGCCCACCATTCGATTCCATGGAATCTGTTTTTCGTCATTATAGCCAAGCAGCACACAGAACATCCCTGTGCCGTTTCATGCTCGGGAATCGTGAGACAGAACAATATGTCCTTGTGAATAGCATCCCCCAACATGTATAGCGAACAAAAGTCAATGCATGGGCATCTCGGGCCTCACAGCTAACTTCCATTTGGAGAGCATAAGCTGGGGAGTTTTTGAGTCGTTCAGTCAGTTTCTTCTTGAATGCTAGCAATAGCATAAATTATTTGTTTAACAGTGTGCCTCTGCCTCCACACACATTGTTTTCACCATATCAATTGTGGCTGGTGATATCCAAGTCTCTGCAATAGTGTGGTTTCATAGTGTAGCTTGCCTAGCCATTCACCATGGGAATGATTCAAGTGCAACGGTCAAGTGCGGCCTTTTCCCATGAATTTCATCATTTAGATTTGAATAATTTTCATTTAGATTTTTAAGGTTAACCACATTACAATGATTTTGAGAAACAATGACGATATAATATACTGTATACTGAACAAAAAAATAAACGCAACATGTAAAGTGTTGGTCCCATGTTTCATGAGCTGAAAGAAAAGATCCCAGAAATATTGCATACGCACAAAAAGCTTATTTCTCTCAAATTTTGACCAGAAATGTGTTTACATCCCTGTTAGTGAGCATTTACCCTTTGCCAAGATAATCCATCCACCTGACAGGTGTGGCATATCAATAAGCTGATTAAACAGCATGATCATTACACAGGTGCACCTTGTGCTGGGGACAATAAAAGGCCTCTCTAAAATGTGCAGTTTTGTCACACAACACAATACTACAGATGTCTCAAGTTTTGAGGGAGCGTGCAATTGGCATGCTGACTGTGGTAATGTCCACCAGAGCTGTTGCCAGATAATTTAATGTTAATTTCTCTACCATAAGCCACCTCCAACGTCATTTTAGTGAATTTGGCAGTACGTCCAACTGGCCTCAGAACCACAGACCACGTGTAGCCACGCCAGCCCAGGACCTCCACACCCGGCTTCTTCACCTGCGGAATCATCTGATGGGGTGCTGAGGTGTATTTCTGTCTGTAATAAAGCCCTTTTGTGGGGAAAAACTCATTCTGATTGGCTAGATCTGGCTCCCCAGTGGGTGGCCCTTCCCCAGTCATGTGAAATCCATAGATTAGGGCCTAATTTATTTATTTAAATTGACTGATTTCCTTGAAATGAACTGTAACTCAGTAAAATATTCTAAATTGTTGCATGTTGGGTTAAATTTTTGTTCAGTATATAAACTGTATTTTTGTATATTTATATATTTTTCAGGATTTTGGAAATTCTCCCGCGACCCCATTTTCATATAAGGTGACCCCTAGTTTGGGAACCGCTGCCCTAACCCTAACCTTAACCCTTTAACTACTTCGCTAACATGTTACCTAGCCCTAACCTTAACCCCTAACCTTATCTCTAACCCTAGACCCTAGCCTTGGAATTTGAATTCTTGATGAAGAAAATCGTGTACTGGACACGAATGCATTATGAAGAAAATTGTGTGGTGGACACAAATCGTGTACTGGACACATGCGATATGAGGAAATTATGCTTGGTGGTGCCCCTTGCTTAGTGGTGTTGCAGACTCTGAGTCCTTTCAGAACATGTGTATATATACTGTAATCATGTAACAGATCATCACACAGGTGGACTTTATTTAACTAATTATGTGACTTCTGAAGGTAATTGGTTGCACCAGATCTTATTTAGGGCCTTCATAGCAAAGGGGGTGAATACATATGCATGCACCACTTTTCCGTTATTTATTTCTATTTCACTTCACCAATTTGGACTATTTTGTGTATGTCCATTACGTGAAATCCAAATAAAAATCCATTTAAATTACAGGTTGTAATGAAACAAAATAGGAAAAACGACAAGGGGGATGAATACTTTTGCAAGGCACTGTAAAGAAGAAGAAAAAAGAAGAGCGATGAAATCTCTAGCCAGCTTTAGAGGGTGCCTTCACAACAGAGAAAAGTGTGTGTGTGTGTGTGTGTGTGACTGTGTACTGCCATGCTGGGTGCAGAAGGAGGTCAGAGACCCACATGTTCTGGAACACTCTCTATTTCTCTCTCTCTGTCTCCCTTGCCATCCCCCCTAAGCATTCTTCTCATTCTCTGCTACTGTTACAGGGGAATAAACTGGAAGGAATGCGAGAGGCTTGTACTACTGTACTAATGCGATTAGCTTCAACGCGGCTCTCTCTCCCCTGGCTGCTTCTGTGTGTTAGTTTCACGCCCGTCTCCCTCTTCCCCGGCACATGGCGCTAGCACTTAACCCCAGGCTTAGTGCAGCCGCCACATTGTTTGGATGACTCTGCAACTGGGAGATACTCGCTCATTGTGCCAATGGTAGGGCTCGATATACTCGAAGGTATTCCAGATGCTAGCAGCACCTTTTTACAGTAACTATTGTGCAGAAAGACGTGTGTTGCACACACTAATGCTAGTGCATGATATCCTGAAACGGATTCCGGCTGCCAGTTGTACCTTTTAGTGTAGAAAATGACTCCTTTCTAATCCAACTAGAGTAATCCATATTCTTTAACCCTCACAATATCTACTCACACTCTTTATTGGGGATGAACACAGGGGATGTTCCGCAGCTTGCGAAGTCAGTGATGGACTGAAAAGCAAATCAAGGGCTCTTATGGAGGGATTTGTACTGTTAGTGTACACTGAGAGTACAAATCATTAGGAACACCTGCTCTTTCCAGGACATAGACTGACCAGGTGAATCCAGGTGAAAGCTATGATCCCTTATTGATGTCACTTGTTAAATCCACTTCAATCAGTGTAGATGAAGTGTAGGAAACAGGTTAAATAATGATTTTTAAGCCTTGAGACAATTGAGACATGGAGTGTGTATGTGTGCCATTCAGAGGGTGAATGGGCAAGACAAAATATTTAAGTGCCTTTGAACGGGGTATGGTAGTAGGTGCACGGGCCCTCAGATCCTCAAAAAGTGATACAGCTGCACCTTTGAGAGCATCTTGACTGGCTGCATCACCGCTTGGTATGGCAACTGCTTGACATCCGACCGCAAGGCGCTACAGAAGGTAATGCGTACGGCCCAGTAGATCACTGGGGCCAAGGTCCCTGTCATCCAAGACCTCTATACCAGGTGGTGTCAGAGGAAGGCCCTAAAAATTGTCAAAGACTCCAGCCACCCATGTCACAGTCTGTTCTCTATGCTACTGCACGGCATGCGATACCGGAGCGCCAAGTCTGGGACCAAAAGGCTCCTTAACAGCTTCTACCCCAAAGTCATAAGACTGCTGAACAGTTAATTAAACCCAGACTTTCTGCTCTTCACCCCCTACCTATATGTACATATTACCTCAATCAATCACCCTAACTACCTCATACCCTAGTACACTGATTCGTTACTGGTACTCCTTGTATATAGCCTGTATATAGCCTCGTCATTGTTATTTTATTGTGTTACTATTTTATTTTTATCTATTTGTTAATTTTCTTATTTTTTAACTGCATTGTTGGGAAAGGGCTCGTAAGTAAGCATTTCACGGTAAAGTCTACACTTGTTGTATTCGGCGCATGTGACAAATACAATGCTATTTGATTTGCCAGGCGCACCGGTATGAGTGTGTCAAGAACTGCAAAGCTGCTGGGTTTTTCACACTCAACAGTTTCCTGTGTGTATCAAGAATGGTCCACCACCCAAAGGACATTCAGCCAACTTGACACAACTGTGGGAAGCATTGGAGTCAATATGGGCCAGCATCTGTGGAATGCTTTCGACACCTTGCAGAGTCCATGCCCCGACGAATTGAGGCTGTTCTGATGGCAAAAGGGGGTGCAACTCAATATTAGGAATGTGTTCCTAATGTTTTGTACACTCAGTGTATGCCCCAATTATCTCATATACCTGTAGTCTTCTATGTTCCACAAAACTGTGTTAGCCTGTTGAGCTAAAGCCTTTGCATTCACTTGGGAAGCCAACACATGTTTTCAGGTCTCAGGCAAGGTTACTTACCACCGAGCATGGTTCAGAACCACCTCTGTTACACTTACAAACGGATACTACTGTGTTATGATAATACAAACTTTCAACTACAGTGGCATGGGACCGAATGTAAATTCAGACCAATCACTACCTTTCTGCTTGTGGTACTGTAAAGGTTGGCCCTAACCTCAGATCTAGGATTAGATTATCCTACCACCAAACCTAGCCATAACTATTAGGATGATGAAAGTGGGGAGAACAAGTATTTGATAAACTGCCGATTTTGCAGGTTTTCCTACTTACAAAGCATGTAGAGGTCTGTAATTTGTATCATAGGTACACTTCAACTGTGAGAGACGGAATCTAAAACAAAAATCCAGAAAATCACATTGTATGATTTTTAAGTAATTAATTTACATTTTATTGCATGACATAAGTATTTGATACATCAGAAAAGCAGAACTTAATATTTGGTACAGAAACCTTTGTTTGCAATTACAGAGATCATACGTTTCCTGTAGGTCTTGACCAGGTTTGCACACACTGCAGCAGGGATTTTGGCCCACTCCTCCATACAGACCTTCTCCAGATCCTTCAGGTTTCGGGGCTGTCGCTGGGCAATATGGACTTTCAGCTCCCTCCAAAGATGTTATTTTGGTTCAGGTCTGGAGACTGGCTAGGCCACTCCAGGACCTTGAGATGCTTCTTACGGAGCCACTCCTTAGTTTCCCTGGCTGTGTGTTTCGGGTCGTTGTCATGCTGGAAGACCCAGCCACGACCCATCTTCAATGCTCTTACTGAGGGAAGGAGGTTGTTGGCCAAGATCTCGCGATACATGGCCCCATCCATCCTCCCCTCAATACGGTGCAGTCGTCCTGTCCCCTTTGCAGAAAAGCATCCCCAAAGAATGATGTTTCCACCTCCATGCTTCACGGTTGGGATGGTGTTCTTGGGGTTGTACTCATCCTTCTTCTTCCTCCAAACACGGCGAGTGGAGTTTAGACCAAAAAGCTCAATTTTTGTCTCATCAGACCACATGACCTTCTCCCATTCCTCCTCTGGATCATCCAGATGGTCATTGGCAAACTTCAGACGGGCCTGGACATGCGCTGGCTTGAGCAGGGGGACCTTGCGTGCGCTGCAGGATTTTAATCCATGACGGCGTAGTGTGTTACTAATGGTTTTCTTTGAGACTGGGGTCCCAGCTCTCTTCAGGTCATTGACCAGGTCCTGCCGTGTAGTTCTGGGCTGATCCCTCACCTTCCTCATGATCATTGATGCCCCACGAGGTGAGATCTTGCATGGAGCCCCAGACCGAGGGTGATTGACCGTCATCTTGAACTTCTTCCATTTTCTAATAATTGCGCCAACAGTTGTTGCCTTCTCACCAAGCTGCTTGCCTATTGTCCTGTAGCCCATCCCAGCCTTGTGCTGGTCTACAATTTTATCCCTGATGTCCTTACACAGCTCTCTGGTCTTGGCCATTGTGGAGAGGTTGGAGTCTGTTTGATTGAGTGTGTGGACAGGTGTCTTTTATACATGTAACGAGTTCAAACAGGTGCAGTTAATACAGGTAATGAGTGGAGAACAGGAGGGCTTCTTAAAGAAAAACGAACAGGTCTGTGAGAGCCGGAATTCTTACTGGTTGGTAGGTGATCAAATACTTATGTCATGCAATAAAATGCAAATGAATTACTTAAAAATCATACAATGTGATTTTCTGGATTTTTGTTTTAGATTCCGTCTCTCACAGTTGAAGTGTACCTATGATAAAAAGTACAGACCTCTACATGCTTTGTAAGTAGGAAAACCTGCAAAATCGGCAGTGTATCAAATACTTGTTCTCCCCACTGTATATCTGATTCTGGATCAGCAGTTAGAGGCAACTTCTACTGTCTGGAATACAGGAACGGGAACCGATCTTCTGCCCACTATGTCTGTTAGTTAATTAAGTAAAGTGTCATTTTCTAGCAGTAAGCTTCGTTAAAATAAGTGCCCTGCCCCTCGTTAAGAGGCAATTAGTGCCGACACAGAGATAGGAGAGGGCGGGAGGGGAGTGGTCCCTTTTTGGAACGTCTCCAGTTTTGGAACCTCTAATCATCGAGATAAAGGTAAATATTAATTTCTATGAGTTTTATCCCTCACATATCTTTGTCTGGTAATACACTGGGGTGTGAGACGACAATGTGATCTAGGGTTGGGCGGTGTCCAGAATTTTAGAACTTCATACCATTCCTGTACCATACCGGCGTATACCGCTATTTCTTTCCAAATGTAAAAAAACTAACGAATGCTAACAAAGTACTATTCCCATAGCTGACGCTAGCTAAAAGCTAACAAGCGCAAACAAAAATAAACTAATCGCAAAGACAGACAACCCAGCTCATAAAGTTATTAAAATATCTCAAAAGGCTATTCACAGTTTGTTGCATGTACAAAACTAATATTAGGTAGCTGGGATCTTGATCCAGGAAGGGGATTGATTTTCTTTGCTGTAACCAAGAAGCTTGATCTTGCAAGCTAACCACTTAGCTAGCAAGTTAGCAAACCAAATGCATAGCTGGAGCCCTGAGCTGGAGAGAATTTATATGGCACATCTTAGATAGTTAACCAGTGGAGGCTGATGGGAGGAGCTATAGGAGGACGGGTTCATTGTAATGGTTGTAACGGAATAAATGGAATGGAAACAATCACATCAAATATATGGAAATCACATGTTTGACTCCATTCCATTTATTCCATTCCAGCCATTACAATGAACTCATCCTCCTATAGCTCCTGCCACCAGCCTCCACTGTAGTTAACATACACTTATAAGATCATTAGCTGGCAAACATTAGTGTAACTTGGTCACCACTGCACATCAGTGGATCGTCACATCACGATACTTCAGTTTGCTCCGTGTGCTCTTTGTAAACAAACATACCATGTGATTGGCTCAATCAGCTGCTTTGGAGAATGGCTTTAAATTGAAAAAAATATGAAACAGGTGAAATGAAGAATGCAATCTGCTTTATATAGTGCACAAGTTGACTGCAGATATTTATTTTAAAATAACAAATAATAAAATGGATGAAAAAACAAGAAAAACAACAACATATCAACTGTATTGACTGTATTTTAAATCATACCATGGGTATTTGAAAATACCCCGGTATGCCTATACCGCCCAAGCCTAATGTGATCTACATTACATTCAGAAAGTGTTCACACACCTTGATGTTTTCTAAATTTTGGTGTGTTACAGCTTGAATTTAAAATTGATTAAATTGAGTGTTTTTGTCACTGGCCTACACACAATACCCCATAATGTAAAAGTGGAATTATGGTTTTTTTGTTGAAATTAATTACAAATTAAAAGCTGAAATGTCTTGAGCCCATAAGTATTCATCCCCTTTGTTATGGCAAGCCTAAATAAGTTCAGGAGTAAAAATGTGCTTAACAAGTCACACAATAAGTTGCATGGACTCACTGTGGAATAATAGTGTCTAACATAATGTTTGAATGACTACCTCATCTCTGTACCCCCAAACATACAATTATCTGTAAGGTTCCTCAGTCGAGCAGTGAATTTTAAACACAGATTCAACTACAAAGACCAGGGAGGTTTTCCAATGCCTCGCAAAGAAGGGCACCTATTGGTAGATGGGTAAAAACAAAAAAAAGCAGAGACTGATTATCCCTTTGAGCATGGTGAAGTTATTAATTACACTTTGGATGGTGTATAAATACACCCAGTCACTACACAAAGATACAGGCATCCTTCCTAACTCTGTTGCCGGGAGGAAGGAAACCGGTCAGGGATTTCACCATGAGGCCGATGGTGACTTTAAAATAGTTACAGAGTTTAATGGCTGTGATAGGAGAAAACTGAGGATGGATCAACAACATTGTAGTTACTCCACAATACTAACCTAATTGACAGAGTGAAAGAAGGAAGCCTGAAAAAACATGCATCCTGTTTGCAACAAGGCACTAAAGTAATACTGCAAAAAACGTTTTGTCCTGAATACAAAGTCTGTGGCAAATCCAATTAAACATATTACTGAGTACCACTCTCCATATTTTCAAGCATAGTTGTGGCTCCATCATGTTATGGGTATGCTTGTAATCATTAAGGGAGTTTTTCAGGATAAAAAAGAAATGGAGCTAAGCACAGGCAGAATCCTAGAGGAAAACCTGGTTCAGTCTGTTTTCCATCAGACACTGAGATAAGTTCACCTTTCAGCCGGACAATAACCTAAAACACAAGGCCAGATCTACACTGGAGTTTCTTACCAAGAACACAGTGAATGTTCCTGAGTGGCCGAGTTATAGTTTTGACTTAAATCTGCTTGAAAATCTATGGCACGACTTGAAAATGTCTAGCAATGATCAACAACCAGTGTGACAGAGCTTGAAGAATTTTGAAAAGAATAATGGGCAAATATTGTACAATCCAGGTGTGCAAAGCTCTTAGAGACTTACCCAAAAAAGACTCACAGCTATAATCGCTGCCAAAGGTGATTCTAACGTGTATTGACTCAGGGGTGTTATGTAAATGAGATATTTCTGTATTTAATTTTCAATCAATTTGCTACAACTTCTAAAAACATGTTTTCACATTGTCATTATGGGGTATTGTGTGTAGATGGGTGAGAAAAAAATCAATTTAATACATTTTGAATTCAGGCTGTAACACAACAAAATGTGGAATAAGTTAAGGGGTATGAACACTTTCTCAAGGCACTGTAAGTTTCCTTAATTTCTCTCTAGCCTCATTCCCTTTCATTGAGATGTAGCCCTGACCTAAGAAGCCAACCAAGTGCTGTCTCAATCCACCTGAATCAGTTAGCTCACCTGAGAGCAGGCTGTCATTTAGCAGCCAGTCATTAGTGACAGTGACTGTGTGTGTGTTCCCTTTCAGTGTCAGTTGACCCCTCATTTTTGGTGTACTTTTAAAATGGTGTGTGTTAAAAGTGTATATTTTACTAATATATGGTCTGGAACAAGACTCTCTGCTGTGCACAAGGACAATACATCTTATTTTTCTCCTGATATAGGATATTAATGTGTCTCTCCTCTCTCCAGTCTGAAAGTCGCCCTCTCTTCCCCTCCCGTGGGCGATGCCGTTGACCTCTCTGGCGTGCCACTGGGTGTATGGGACATGGAGTGCCTGGCTGCCCACCTCTGTCTGCACACCACCTGTGTGCGAAGCCTCGAGTTGGGCTTCACCGAGCTCACGGACCAGGTCATATGAAAACGGCTCAACATTACGAATACAGCTTGTATAATATAGTTAATCACTACGACCCTTTGTCAGTTGAACCAAAAATCATAGTATTTCACGTTCTAAAACGAAAATTAGAAACTGAGCAAGAGCTTGTGTAACCCACAGAGATCGAACACTAGATCGCAACAACGTGGACATCTTTTCCCTCCCTCAGCCCTTCCTCATGGGCCTAAGGAAGCACTGCCCCAAGCAGTGCAAGCTGCCCACCATCCAGGAGCAGGAAGATGCCCAGAGACAGGAGGGCCATGCCCAGGGAAAGTACTCCAACGGCATGCCAACCGAGGGGGAAAGCAGGGCTGGAGCTGTGGATGGGACCTCTGGGGAGTGGCAAGGATGGAGGACACTGGACGATACTGAGGAAGAGGAAGAGGAGGAAGAGGAGTTAGAGGATGAGCTATGGGACTGTAACATGAGGAATCCAGTGAATGGAGACGGAATACAAAAATATTTAAAAAGCGTTGTGCACAGTGGCGTTGGCAAATCATCATTCAGCCAATCCAAGCAGCCAATAGGAAGGAAGATTGATGATCACGTGTCCCCTCAGTCAACCAATCAGACCTGAACAAATTCTGGGGGCTGTATATTGAGTGAGGTGAAACATTCAGAAAGTTGCAGATAGAAACAAATGAATAGAGCTGACACCATTCCCTATTCGCCAGACACAATGGGACCATCTCATCCCAAAAGTTGACTCAAGTTTGCCAAAAAGCACATGGAAGTACCTGAATGATCATCAAGACTCTTGGAAGAATGTTCTATGGACAGATGAGTCAAAAGTATAACTTTTTGGATGACATGTGTCCCATTATGCCTGGTGAAAACCAAACACTGCATTCTACAGTAAGAACCTTATACCAACGGTCAAGCATTGTGGTGGTAGTGTGATGGTTTGGGAATGCTTTGCTGCCTCAGGACCTGGACGACTTGCCTTAATAGAAGGAACCATGAATTCTGCTCTGTATCAGATAATTATACAGGAGAATGTCAGGCCATCCGTCTGTGAGCGGAAGCAGAAGCGCACACAATCAAGTCTACATGGAAATGGCTAAAAAGCAACAAATGTGACGTTTTTGAATGGCGTAGTCAAAGTCCAGACCTAATCCCAATTGAGATGATGTGGCAGGACTTGAAACGATCAGTTCATGCTTGAAAACCCACAAATGTCGCTGAGTTAAAGCAGTTCTGCATAGAAGAGTGGGTCAAAAATGAGACTGATCAAGAACTACAGGAAGAGTTTGGTTGGAGTCATTGCAGCTAAAGGTGGCACAACCAGTTATTGAGTGCAATTACTTTTTCATGCAGGGGCATTGGGTGTTGCATAACTTTGTTAATGAAATAAATGAAATAAGTATGTAATTGCTGTGTTATTTGTTCACTCAGGTTCCCTTTATCTAATATTAGGTTTTGGTACCTCTTGCTTGCTCACTCATTCTTTGCGAGATCTCTTAATGGAGAGTTGGTGCAGACAGTGAGTGGATGCTGTGGGGACTTCACGCTCTGCTGACAACAAGTTTTAGATAAGAGACCAAGCTGTAGATGCTGCAATGCACATTGAATGCAAGCTGTTGAGTTACTGAAGCCTACCATTCGTTTACAAGATACTGTACAATTTCCAAGTCCCTCACAGGGCGGGTGGGAGTTCTACACATGGAAATTCATGCACTATTTAACATCCTGAACAGTTGATAAGTGGACTGGATTCAGGATGAGAAATGTGCAGATTCAAGAGCTTGAACTTACTCATATAAGAATAATTAATTAGAATATAACTAATACTGCATCCCTGGGGAAGATAGCCTGAGTGTCAGTCTGTGCTACCGTAATTTCAACGTGAATATTTGGTTTAGACGTTGATCAATATGGTAACATAAGAAGACATTTATAGTTACAGTAACCTCAATGTGGCCATGGATGTATTTTTTCATTTTAAGGTTGAATGTTACATTTGTTTGTATGATAGCCTAAACGTTAGGCTATTGTACTGTATTACAAAAGTTATATTTAATTGTGTTTGGTTGACAACACAACCAAATGTCAACATTTAAAGGATATGTATCTACTGCTTGGATAGTTCCATCTGAGCCACTGGCATAATCCCATTATTTAACTTTTATTTTTGGTTGAGGTTGAGATGTGAATCCAACATATAATTTGTTAACTTGTCGACAATTTAATAGGCTATTGTTTACAAATTAATAATTGACATTGGAGTTACGTCTCCATCTCAACCAAAAACCAGTTAAGGAATAGGACTAAATGAAGTCCTATTTTTTAATATAGATTTTTGGTTGAGATGGAGACGTGAGTCCAGCATATCAATTATTAATTTGTAGACAAACTGGAATTAACGGCAGACCAAAAATGGTTTATTATATTCATAAGATATTTGAGTGACCGCTCTAACAATGGAAATACATGTCCTCAAAGATGGAAGGCAGGCGGGAGGAGGCGATCAGTGGCGGTCAGTGCAGTTTAAAATGAGGGAGGACGATTTGTTTTTCATGAGCATGGCCTTATTTCTATTACAGCATATTGGATGACTGTCATTCATATTCCATTCACCCAGTTCAATGTAACAGCAATAGGTTTAGGCTACTACATGATACTCAAATGTTCCCTATACCCATCATGGGGTTGCTACAACCTAGCCTATGAATGACAGTTTACAACGTAGGTGCACACAGGTCAAGATATACATTTGAGGTGACAGACAGTGACACATGGACAGACGGTGACATTCAATACCGCCTTGCACACTCTTGCCTGCATCTAGCTGTTATAGGGTGTAATCAGTAGTCCAACATTTGCAAATAATCGTTTTTATTGGACAAATTCAGGTATGTTTATCCCCATTTTGTTCCGTTTTGTTCCGTTTTAGAAAGGGTTTTCAACAGAATCGGCGGAATGAATACAACCCTGATCACGCGTAAACACAGTTCACTTTCATAGCAGCCATGTTGTATTCCTTCTCGCATCTATGTGCTCTCCTCCTCTTCCCTTCGCTTGTGGACTTCAATGCACAACACATCAGCTGTATGTGACCAGGTAAAAAAACATTTCCAAGCCAAACCACTACACACAGACTACATTGTTGTCACCATATTAGCTAAAGTAACAGCATAGTCAGCATAGCTAATAGAACTAACGCGTTTGTAAACCCGCTACAATCATGCAGTAATGTTACAGTGTACAGTCAGTAAGCAGTTACACCGGCAGGCCCCAGTGGCAATAAATTAGTAAAACCAAAAGCTTACCTTGACGGAAGAGTTCCAGTGTTGTGTTGGAAAGTCATAGCAAGCTAGCTAATATAGCATCCCTCTGTTTGAGCAGGGTGTTTCAGTAGGCTAAACTAGCTAGCTGCATTTGCGAGCTAAGTAAGTGAAACTGAAAGTGAGAAAAAAAATGACACTCTCTCTCACTCTTTCTCTCTTGCTTCTCCTTAATTTTGGAAGAAATGAATTTGTTCAAAACTGTTCAACTACTGTCTTTCTCTCTCTTTGAGTCAACTACTCACCACATTTTATGCACTGCAGTGCTAGCTAACTGTTGTTTATACTTTCAGTACTAGATTAATTATCTGATCCTTTGATTGGGTGGACAACATGTCAGTTCATGCTGCAAGAGCTCTGATAAGTTGGAGGACGTCCTCCGGAAGTTGTCATAATTACTGTGTAAGTCTTTGGAAGGGGGTGAGAACCATGAGCCTCCTAGGTTTTGTACTGAAGTCAGTGTACCCAGAGGAGGACGGAAGCTAGTTGTCCTCCGGCTACACCATGGTGCTACCCTACAGAGTGCTGTTGAGGCTACTGTAGACCTTCTTTGGAAAATAGTGTGTTTTAATCAATTATTTGGTGACGTGATTATATTTAGTATAGTTTTATCTAAAAAGGATAACATTTTCAATGTTTTACAATTTTAATTTTTTATTAAATTCACTAAGGAGGATGGTCCGGTGGGCACATTCTAGCCGATGAGAGGGCAGATAGGCCATAGAGATAGATATCACTAAATATCATTACATTTGAAATCAACGAGAGCTTGAAACCCTAGGCCTATGTATTGTCTATTTTTAGTTGAACCCTGGGTTGAATTGAAACAATAGCTGTTCATGACTTTGCAAATGCTATATAGGCCTAAATAGCCTCATTGATGATTTATGAGTGATAAAGTATGGTCACATTTCCTCTGCTCTGTTAAACCTACTCTTTGGAATGAATTCGATAGCAACAGTGAATCTATTTAGTTTTTAAGTGGATATCTCTCAACATCATTCTCATGATAGCACATAGCTATTGGGCTGGGCTTGGTTAAAACCCTGGATGAGAGACCAAAAGGTAGCTGTAGATAAATACATTCTCCAGTAGGAGTTAATGCCCAGCCTATAGTTTTTTTTCTGATAGTGGATATAACATTGAAGATCTGATGTTGTTTTAAAGGTACAAATTCAACATAATTTATACAAGGATTGTCTATGTTGAAATGTGGTTACCATGATAACATAATCCTGTGGTTGAAATTTCACCCTCAAAACAAGAGTTTACATTTATGACTTTTTTCCACGTAGATTCCACGTCACAATACGTTGACAAATTACATTGAAACAACATTGATTCAACCAGTTTGTGCCCAGTGGGTTGTCACTCATTGTCATCCATTGCCAAACATGAGCAATGGAGACACAAATAGATCTGGGACCAGGCAGTAAGTACTTTCGCAACTGGTAAGGTGTCATTCTGACCTCATCAAGCTTGACAAGCAATGTTATATTTTGGGTTAACTTTTTTAAACTCCAAGCACAGATAGGACACATGGACATTTATTTTGTTAGGCATTACTCATGCAACCATTTATTTTCTATTGTGAGAAAGCATTAGTGAGATTCTTAGAACGTTCTCTGAACGTTACTAAAGTTTTGTTGTGGTTTTTATGGAAAGTTGTCTTAACATTCTCTGAACAATTTGAGAACATTACTTTAAATATAACCATGAGGAAACGTTATGCTGATGTACTGAAATTCCTTCAGAAGAATGTTGTTTCTTAACGTTCTCTAAACTATTTGAGAACATTCCCAATGTCAAACCAGTTGGAGAACGTTCCTAGAATATTACTGACATTTGGTTGCTTTGAATGTTCCAAAGCCAAGCAACTATCCTGTACCATTCCCAGAAAGTTGTGGGAAGGTTGTAAGCAAAATAAGCATAGGTCAACCACTCTCTCACCAAGCTCTAAGAAACCTATGGTTCTCAGAACGTTATGTGCTAGCTGGGTAAACCATGTTTACACAGCTCAGCAGTACCAATAAGTGCAAGCCCAGGATAGAGGGGCTGAGTGAATGTGGTCTGGACTCTTTGGAGGAGGGTCATTGTGTAAGAGACACTGTAGAAGGACAGAGTACCAGCCTTGTGATTCAGGTACACTACTACTCTGGAGGACAGAGGGCCGGATACTTTAGTCCCAACATTATTGGGTCTGAAACAATAACCTCTATTACAGTAGTCTAAACTCCAGGACTGGAGAAATCCAGACTCATTACCTGACCCTATGCTGATATCTTTATATGAG